GTGGTAGAAACAGTTCATGTTGGTTTGAGGTTGGTATCAGAAAGGGAAGGGAAAGATAGAGAAACTGAGGGAGGCTCTTCACTCCTGAGGTTGACTGGAGTATATAACATGACCATCACAGATATTGACATAGAAATTTTAGAAAGAGTTGAGAGTGCTGGGTGACTCACTAGGGAAGCTGACTTCCCTCTTTGCCTGGGCTTGTGGTTTGTAACTGATAAGTTTCTTATTCTTCTGACTTCTTCATTTCTGTCACAGGAAGTCCCTTCTACTCAACTCCTCTTCTTCCAAACCTCCTCACTGGGATTTTTCCCTCTGTTCCCCTTTTCTCTGAACCACAGTTTCTGAAATGGCAGTTCACAATTCCATCAGCAATAAAGCTCAGGGGAGCATATTTTCAGGCTGCTCTGTAATGTGCAAGAATATCACATGCAGACTTTCAAACTGAAGCTGGTAATAATATCCCTCTGCCCTTCTTTGGGGCACAATGAGGGCAATGACTTCTCTTTCAGGTTAGTGTGAGAATCACCTAATTCTGTAACATGGAGGAGTTCATTTATGGATTCTTATTTCTGAGAATATGAATTGGGGTGAGAGTGCATTGGTTAATTTTTGTCATCTTGAAGTAGACTAAAGTCACTTGGGAAATAGGGAACCACAAGTGAGGAAGTGCTTTGATGGGATAAGACTTTTGTCATGAATGTAGAGCATTTTCTTGATTAATGATTCTAAGATACATCAGAATCTAATGCTACACCTCTCATAGGATACATGGGGCAAAGTTTGGGACTCCTGACATGGCACTTTCATTCCCTGATGCCAGCATGTAGTTTTCTGACTTACGTATAGGAGGAGGGTCTGTAATTTCATAGATACTGGGCATCTTTGCAGGATCCATCCAACTCTTTCTCTTTTCATTCACTTTGGTGTTGCCAATTCCTCCTCCCACAGCTTCATGCAGAAGTGTCTGAAGTGTAACTAAGTATTGATAATGGTTGAAGTTAGGACAACCATTTGTCTCCCAAGGCAGGGGCAATAGTTGTGCTCATGCTTCTATCAGCAACTTCTTCATTTCATCATGTTTTATGCATCCTTTAGGGTTTATTTGCCTATTTACATAGTTTATCTGGCCTTGATTTAACTTTCTTACATTGTACCTATCCAGAAAACTGTCCATTTCTTTCAGATTTTCCAATTTTGTAGAGTACAGGTTTTTGAAGTATGACCTGATGATTATCTGGATTTCTACATTGTCTGTATTTATGTCTCCCTTTTCATTTCTGATGTTGTTGATTTGGATGAACAGACATTAAAAGTCTCCCAACCAAAAATGTCCAGGACCAGATGGTTTCAGTGCAGAATTCTACCATAATTTAAAGAAGAGCTAATTCCAATACTCTTCAAATTGTTCCACACAATAGAAACAGAAGGGACATTACCAAATTATTTTTATGAGGCTACATTTACCCTGATACACAAACCACACAATGATGCAACACAGAAAGAGAATTACAGACTAATCTCTCTCATGAACATTGATGCAAAAATACTCAAAAAATATTGGCAAACAGAATCAATGAACACATTGAAAAATTATCCACCATAATCAAGTTGGCTTCAAACCAGGTATGCAAGGATGGTTCAACAAACAAAAATGTGTCAATGTAATACACCATATAACCAAACTGAAATACAGAAAACACACGATTATCTCATTAGATGCTGAAAAAGCCTTTGACAAAAATTCCAACACCTTTAACGATAAAAGTCCTAGAGAGATCAGGAATACAAGCTACATACCTAAGCATAATAAAGGCAATTTACAACAAGGCAACAGCCAGCATCAAATTAAAAGGAGAGAAATTCAAAGGGATTCCATTAAAATCAGGAACAAGACAAGGTTGCCCACTCACTCCATATTTATTCACTATAGTACTTGAAGTTCTAGCTAGAGCAATAAGACAATAAATGGAGATCAATGGGATAGAAAATGGAAAGGAAGATGTCAAACTTTCGCTATTAGTAGACAATATGTTTGTGTACATAAGTGACCCCAAAAATTTTACCAGGAAACTCTTACAGCTGATAAACAACTTCAGTAATGTGGCAGGATACAAGATTAACTAAAAAAATCAGTAGCCCTCCTATATACAAATGATAAATGGGCTGAGGAAGCAATCAGAGAAACATCACCCTTTATAATAGCCACAAATAATATAAAATACCTTGGAGTAACTCTAAGTAAGCAAGTGAAGGACCTGTATGACAAGAACTTTAATTTACTGAAGAAAGAAATTAAAAAAAAATATCAGAAGATGGAAAGATATCCCATGCTCATGGATAGGCATGATTAACATAGTAAAAATGGCAATCTTACCAAAACAATCTACAGATTCAATGCATTCCCCATCAAAATCCCAACACAAATCTTCACAGACCTGGAGAGAACAATACTCAACTTCATATGGAAAAGGAAAAATCCCAGGATAGCTAAAAGAATTTTGTACAACACAACAACCTCTGGAGGCATCACGATCCTTGACTTCAAGCTCTACTCTAGAGATACAGTAATAAAACAACTTGGTACTGGCATAAAACCCGTCATATGGACCAATGGAATGGAATTGAAGACTCTGACATTAATCTGCACACCTAGGAACACCTAATTTTTGACAAGGATGCCAAAACTATACAATAGAAAAAAGAAAGTATCTTCAACAAATGGTGATGGCATCACTGGATGTTAACATGTAGAAGACTGCAAATAAATCCACATCTGTCCCCATGCACAAAACTTAAGTCCAAGTGGATCAAAGACTTCAACATGAATTCCTATGAGCTAGCATTGTGTACAGAGTGGAAAGGACTTAGCACATATAGGATGGGTGGTGTCATGTGGCATCCCAGCTCCCTTTAGCCCTTTCATTGACCTCCATGTAGTAAATATCTGTGAACTCATTTCTAGTGTTCATTCAAGACATTATAAATCAGGATCAGTAAATGTTTCCTCCTAACAGGTGCCTACTGAAGTCAGATGAATGTATGATAGGTCCAGTTAATGTTTTTCATTAGGACAGAATAAGGTGATATACTGATGGTGTGGACAAGTGTAGTCTCCTCAGGACAGCTCAGCTGCTAGTTGTGGTGGCACATCACTTTAAATACAGCACTTTAGAAGCAGGGGAAGGTGAATATTTGTGAGTTTAAGACCAACTAGGTCTACATAGTGAATTCCAGGACAGCCAGGACTCTGTAGAGAGACCTTGATTCAAAACAACAACAACAATACAAAAACAAAACAAAAGGATCTTATCATGTAGAGGGACAAATTGAGTACAGCCTACCCAAATATCTGGACTTTCAGGTCTGGAAAATGAAATATGTAACCTAAGACCTGCTCTATGGTCAGCATCAGTGACGTGTAAATCAAGAAAAGAAACTAGATGAAACAAATTATAGGCTGAAACCTCCCATGAACACAGCTGCAAAATATGCAAAAATTATTATTTCTCACCATGTAAAGACAGTCATAAATGGTTCATCTTCTGTGAGATCATGTTTATGAGATTTTGCTAAGTATTCTGTGATGTTAACACTGTGATAAACATTTACTAAATGTGTATTTTTCAGAACATGTCCTGTTTTTAGCTATGAGAATGTAGTATAAAATGAAAAGAACACCTCACAAAAAAGTAGAATTTACCCAGTCATGGAATCCCATTCAATGTTCAAAACCATATGATATTGATGATAGTAACAAGGTTACAATTAAAAACATACATAATGGGGACAGCTTTTGAAGAAGAGTTAGCATTTGTCAATATCCCACAGCCATTCATCATGTACACTTAGAAAAAATTAGGAACAAAGAACTTCCAGAGTCAGAATTATTTTCTGTGCCAAAACACCAAAGTTATCATCATACTGAATGGCGAGAAAGCAGATATTTTGCATTAAATCCTGAAGAAGGTAAGAGAATCTTCTCTCTTCATACATTTCCAGCATTGTACTTGAGACTTGAGGTAAAAAGAAGAGAGAGAAAAATAAACACCTCTATCATTGTTTGAATGATAACACACAATTTTCTATGTAGAACTTATGAATCATTTTATGATAATTCATCCTAGCAAGGAGTTTCTGAGATGGTTCATCAGCATGCTAATTTCTTTTGCATATATAAAAATAGGCAGTGGGGAATGTTATGACAAACACATAAATTTCATGCAAATTTCTCAACATCACATCTGTGATGTTACATTGCTGTTGTGAAGGTGTCTTTGATGGGGTTATATAGAGTGGTCAGCAAATGCCACAAATCAAGAAATTGTGTTAGGAAAACACCTTTTTTCTGTTGTGTCTACACTACCTTGATAATCCTTATTCTACCAGTGTGGTATTATTTGTTTTATATTTAAAAAGAAACTCCATGAAGAGTAGGTTTTGAAGACTGAAAGGATGGGGGATCACAGAGATGGTTTTTGGGGGCATCATAGACAGAATAAGTTGAATTCTTGGCTCTGATTTTACTCATCATTTTGGTATTGAGGCACCTTCCTTGTTTTTGTCAAATAGACAGTGCCTCCTGTCATGGAGAATGTGGCAATGTATAAAAATGGAAAATGACACATGAGAGGGAGGGAAAGAAAAAAAATGTACAGAAATGAGGACACAAGCCAGTCTGAAGGGACAGCATAAACCCTCACTTTATAGATTCAGAAGTGTTGGTTCAGTCAGCAAATGCCCACAGCAGGCGGAGGGACATGAATTGACTGAGGAATGATCTCACCACAACACTCACATCTTCCTCTTCATCCAAATCACATTTGGATCCTGTACAATTCTCTGACATAAGAAATGGATTTTCTTACAGAAAGCTTGAATCATCAGATTTAATTCTCAGAATCCGGAACCTTGACAGATTTACTTCTTTCTCATCTGATTACTTCTCAGCTGCATGGTGGATCTGTCTCTGGCTGCCCCAACCCTCAAAGACCAGAATCCCAATGACTATGAGGATCATGACAGCCATCCCCATCCTGATGAGATTCTCCACTGTGTGATCCTGGTTCTCTGAGGCTGTGGTTGTGGACAAAGAAGTTACAGGGGTTAGGAACAGTCAAAATTTCCTCAAGATAACTAAATGCCCCCAAGATTACTAAATGTTCCCAATATAACTAAATATCTAACCAGAGATCACGCCTTCCCTGGTTGGAGCTTGGTCCCTCTTTTTTCAGTGGTATGATTTTGAATTCTCTTTATTCAAATGTCTTGAGTTTGGGCATATTCTAGGATGAGCTGAGAGTCTCAAATGATACCAAGAACAAAAGAAGAAGAAGAGGATGTGTGCATGCTTAGGAGACCTGAGTGTTTCACTTTGTCATTTACTGTAAAATACTCTTCATTCTCATTCTATAAGCTCAGGAAGATCTGGGATGATTCTTTCCCTGGGCAGAGCTGGTTTCTCCCCTATTCTTACTAGTTTTTTTAGCACCATTGTTCAAATACCAGTGAAAATATCAATTCAGAGTAGAGTAAATTATTAAAACATTATTGGCCTCGATCCTAAGTCACTGCACTGAGCAGCCTCAGATCATTCTGAGTGTGGTGTCTCTATGTCTGTGAACTCAGCAGAGGTTGTGTGGACTCACATCCTCAGTCTGGGATGATTTCCTAAAGGGGTGTTTTTGCTGAATGTTTGTTCCATTTTCACACTCAGACAACTCTATCTCTCCCGTGTTCTGAGCATTCCCCTGATCTCTTCTGAGTATCCAGGAACCACATAGGGTTTCTTGAGGAGAAATTACCATATAGAATCAGAGGTGAGATACAGTTTCTGCCAATGTTGAGTACCTGACTAATGTTGCTAAACTTTCCCAGATATTTTTTGCCACATCAGACCAAGAAATTTCTCTATGTCCAGTTCAGGTAAGATCACATCCTACTGATGCAGATTGTCCTACATCTCTTTTCTCTCACATGCCATGTGAGAAATGCAGGATCAAGGTGTGGGGCAGAGTCATGCAGATTATTCTGCTGTCCTGGCTCTCAAACGAAGGTGTGAAGTGACTATCTGTGTGTATTTGTGTGTGCATAGGTGTGTGTGTGTGTGTGTGTGTGTGTGTGTGTGGTGTGTGTGTGTGTGTGTGTGTGTGTGTGTGTGTGTGTGTACCATGAAAGGCAGTAGATATTAAGCCATTGGGTTTTCACCTAATGGTTTCCCCAATAGCTTGGATAGCTCACACTAACCATAGATCCCAAGACTGACATATCTAACCATTATTTTAGTCATCTTTACACATAATAGTTATTGATTAAACAGACAGGGTATAGTGTGGTTCATGTCTCCAATCAGTTTAGGAGACTTACCGGTCAGTGGTGGATCATACCTGGATGTCCTATCCCTAAACCTCATCTTGTTCAGATGAGCACACCAAGGATAAACAAAAGACATTCTTATCTGTCACCTCACAAAAGAAGCCTGAACCCATACATTCTCAGTTCCTCTATTTCACCCTGAACAGAAAGGTTGCAGACTTCATAATCAATCATCATGATGAATTGTATCTTGTATGGTTCAACTATGCATGTGGGTCTTCTTTGAAGAGAAGGAGAGTACAGCAGGATTTGTAATTACGACCACAAGGCTTCTTCATCCCCTGGAGACAAAGTGGGCTATGGGTACACTGAGTGAAAGAGTCTGGGAAGACTGATACGTGGAGGGATGTGCAGAGGTTTTCACTGGGAACAAGCTTTTGCTTAGTGTCTTAAATCTGTCCAAGGCCTCCCAAAGGTGTTCTTTCAGTCTAATTTAAACCTTCTGGATTCCACTAGCAAGAACAAGAGTGAGCATTCCTAGAAATATCCACGTTGGCCTCCAGTATCATGATGGTGAATATCCAACTGAATGACACCCTGAAGCAGTTATAACCCAATACAACCAATGTTTTTTTTTGAGGCAGGGTTTATCTGTGTAGGTGCCTCTCCTGGGTCTTGCTCTGTAGACCTGGCTGACCTCAGACTCACAGAGATCTGCCCGCCTCTGCTACCGAACTGCTGAGATTAATGGTGAGTGCCACCAACGCCTGGCCAAACTAATAATTATCGTAGAGGGAGATTGTTGAGAAACCCCTTCAGCTCAGAATGATTGGAATACTTCACCTAGGACCAAGAGCTGTCCACAAGGGCAATGACACATGACAATAGATAAATTGATGAGTTGAAATGTCCATAGCACCTGTAGATGCCTCTGAGAGTGGAGGTCACAGAACTCACAGAGAATACTAGATCCATGCCCCATGATGTAGACAGAGGAAACCTGAATTCTGTGCCATGGCCCTGTGCCTCACCCTTTCACATGTCCCTGCCATTGTGAGACTGATCTGCCACAGAATCAAGTTCTGGATCATTTTTCTGTCAGAAGTCACAGCCAAGGTCACAACTGAAAGAAACTTAAAGGTGTGGGCCTTCCTCTCCATTTTTTATGACAATAATCACCAGCCCAGAAACAGAAGGATTTGTCCAAGTCAGCATTTTCAGATACAGCTGTATGAAGTCCATAATTAGCTGTTGTCCATCAGGATCCCACATGACAACAGAGTCTTTACATAGCCTTCTGGTGCCTGACTCCATAGAGCTGAGGAGTGTGTTCTCAAGACCTTAGTGGCAGGATGGGGAGGTGAGTGTCTGGGTTTCCTGTTCTCCAGCTCACCCAGCTGTCCAGTCCTCCACGCTGAGCCTAAACATCTCTCTCTTGATGCCACCTGCTGTAGCCCAAACTAAACACTGGGCTTCTTGGGTCTCTGTTGGGAATCTGTTTGCCTCCAACACTCACAAGCTGAAGTGACAGAGACATGAGGACTTTTCTGGGTTAAGAGCTGTGAGGCAGCCTGGGGATGGAGCATACTCCCTGCACTGAGGTGCCTGATACTCACCAGCTGTTGGCATAGGTCTTGAGGGTGGTGGGCTTGAGGCTCTAATGGATCCTAGGAAAAAGAAAAGTAGGAGGGTGAGGATTAGATGTTAACCAGGGACCTGCCTCTGCAAGTCCTTCTACATCTGCCCCATAAACTCCCTAAAATTCTCATGCTGTCTACCCTAAATAGACTGTAGCAGGGGATGGAGTGGACATTACTAGAAAGATCACTGCTGGCATCCACTTCCCTGTCAGGGAAAATACCTTCTGACTAACCTTCCTATTGTCCCCTTAATCCCACCCAAGTCAAGGGCTCTCCTAGGGTTTGGATTGTAAGTCACTCTGAGAGTTCAGGGTCACCTCACCTGAGACCATGAGCTCCACAGGGTCACTGCCATATGACAAGAGATAGGGAGATGAGTCTTGAGATCCATAGCACCTGTAGGTGCCCGAGAGGGCAGAGGTCACAGCACTCATGGAGAATTCTGCCTGGAAGTCCCAAGCTTCAGATTTTGATTTTAGTTGCTGGGGTTGTTGGGCTGCTCCCTCCTTGGACAGAATGAAAGTGTCCACTTTGTATGGTGACTGACACAGCAGAGTCACGTTGTCTCCAGAGTGTACTGTGGAGTTAGGCTTCACTGAGAGGGAAGGACTGAAGGGACGCTGTCCTAAAGAGAAGAGGGATGGTGAGAGGCTACCTTCAATGTTCTGAGTTGACACCTCACCTGGGTCTGCCCTGAGCACCTGCTACTCTGTTTCTTTTCTCTGACTTAGCCCATCTCCTGTTCTCCTGCCTCTACATCTCTTCCCAAATAAGATTCCTGTCCCTCATCCCAGCCATCACCTCCTTAACTCCCCCATAAGAACCCATGCACAGGTTAGGTATCTGAGGGAATCTATTTAGTTTCTCACCTGTGATCAGGATGTCCAGGGGGTCACTGGAGGCTGACCACTCAGAGGAGAGGTTGTGTGCACCATAGCATCTGTATTGGCCTCCAGTAGAGCTGCTCACAGGGCCCAGTGTGAAGTTGGCCAAGGAGAGGCCACTCTGGGTCCACTGGCCCCCATTCTGGGTGAAGTCAGCTCCCCCTAACTTGTACAGGGCAAATCTGTCATAGTTGATGTCAGAGCAACACTGCAGGGTGAGGCTCTTCCCAGGGTCCAGGATCTGGCCTTGGTGAGTCAGTAAGGACGGCTTCTTGGACAGAACTAGAGGGAAGGTGACAGGCTAGTGATTGAGGAGCTGATTTTTACCAAATACTTACCCACTCTCATCCTGTGCTACACAGGTCACTTGTTCTCCCCAGGAGTGGGGCTCGGGCTCAGCCACCAGGCTGTTCCTCACCCACTCTCTACCTGCAACTACCCAGTGGGACAGGATTGGTCATTGGTGGAGCTTGCTCACCTGTTATGTGTATTTCCAGGGGTTCACTGGGTACTGACCACATATGTGGAGTTTGGTTGTAGTAACCATAACATCTGAATGTCCCTCCATGGTCTGATGTTACATGATCTATAGAGAACAAGGCTTGGTACTGTATAATACTGTATATAAACTGTGAGTTCAGAGAGCTGAGGAACTTCTGATCTTCCTTGGTGAGAACGAGTTCATCATATCCCTCCTGTGAGACACACTGTAGGGTCATGTTCTCTCCTAAAGTCACCACAGGGCTGGGCAGGGCTGTCAGTCTGGGTTTTTTGTGGTAGATTCCTAAGAGAGAAGGAGGCAGACTGTTACATTGGCTCACGCAGCCCCAGTGTTCTCAAGTCTAGACTGTGGGAGGGGAACATTCCTGAGAGCAGAGCCTGGGGCTGAGACCCTGACTGTCCCCTCACCTGTCACCACCAGTTCCAGGGTGTCACTGCGCTCTGACCAGCCAGCTGAGCTGTAACAGTAACAGCGATATTGTCCCCCATGTTGCTTTGTCACAGAAGGGATGGAGAACTTGGCCTTGTTCTCAGGCTTCTCTGGGGTCTGTGTGCCCCAGGGTTTTTGGCTTCCTTCTTTATGCAGAACATATATTTCTGCATCCAGGCTCCCTTCACAACAGATGGTCATGGGACTTCCTGAGGTGACCACAGAGCCTGTCTCAGCCTTGATGATGGGTTTGTGGAGGGTCCCTGCAAGGAAGTAGGAGAGAAGGAGTTGGGTATGTTTGCCATTGGCATGGAGAGAATCTCACTTTTGTTTGGCACTTTTGTTTTCTCTTAATTTATTCTTCTGTCATACAATACATCCCGACAGCAGCCTTCTCACCTCCTCTCTAACCCAGATCCACTGCTTTTCTGTTTCTTTAGAAGAGAAGAGGCTTCCCAGTGATATTAACCTAACATGGCATAACAGCATGCAATAAAACTAGGTACACACCCTCATATTAAGGCTGCACCTGTCAATCCAATAGGAAGAAAAGTATCCCACATGCAGGGAAAGAGTCAGAGATTTCCCCATCCCATTGCTTTGAATCTAATAAAAAAACCCCAAGCTAGCCAGGTGGTGGTGGTGCACGCCTTGAATCCCCGAACTCAGGAGAGAGATGCAGGGAGATCTCTGGGCGTTCAAGGTCAGCCTGGTCTACAGAGTGAATTTCAGCACAGACAGACCTACACAGTGAAACTCTATAAAACAAAACAAAATATAACCCAGGGTAAACCACCACAGCATGTGTTCAGAGGGTCTAGGGCAGACCCATGTAGACTCCATGGCTGCTCCTTCAACTCTGTGAGCCCTCATGATCCCTGCTTAGTTGATTCTGTGGGCCATGTTCTCCTGGTGTCCTTAACCTTTGTGATTCCTACAACACTTCCTCCCTCTCTTCTGTGGATTTCCTCAAGCTCTTGTGGATGGTACATGAGCTGATTTGGAGTAAGAGAAGACCCCATAAAGATTCATCTGTCTCGTTCCACCTGTGCTTTGCTGTTATTGTCTGCCTTGCATTCTGTATCTTGTGTTCCACTCTTTCTGCCATGCTCTGTGTCAATGGCCTAAGGAGCCCTGACTGCTCACACATATCACACACCACACACCACTCACCAAGGCCTCTCTGAGCATCTGTATCATTTCAGATCATTCTAGACAAAGGCTGAAGTTCCTCACCTGAGAACAGGAGCTCCAGGGGGTCACTAGGCTCTGACCACAGCAGTGGGCTTCTCCCGTAATTGCTGTAGCATTGGAATGTCCACCTTTGGCTGGAGGTCACAGGGCCGACAGAGTACAGGGCCTGGTAGTACTGAATAGAGTAGTTATACTTTGAATCCAGCATTTGGGAGATATTCCGTGTTCCTTTCCCAGTCAGAATGAACCTGTGGTATCGTTGTTTTGAGACACACTGGAGGGTTACATGTCCTCCCTCAGACACCACAGGACTGGGCAGGGCTGACAGGCTGGGTTTGCTGTGTACTCCTAGGAGAGAAGAAGAAATCAGTTAAATCTATCAGACCTCCTTATCCTGCTTGGCTCTAGGTGGGGTTATCCCTGTGAACAGACCCAGTTCTTGACAGTCAAGGCTAAGGCTGGGGAGCCTGTGTGTCCTCTCACCTGTCACCACCAGCTCCAGGGAGTCACTGAACTCTGACCATCCATCATGAGTCTGATATCGACATTGATATCGCCCCGCTTGATTGGGGTCTATTTTTGGGATTGAGAATTCTGCCTTCTTCTTAGGCTTCTGTGGAATCTCTGTGCTCTGTAGATACTGGGATCTCTCTTTATAGAGTATGTACTCTTTGGCTCCTGTGGTCCCCTCACAGAAGAAGGTCACTGTAGTCTGCTTGTAGACCACAGAGTCTGGCTGAACTGTGAGGATAGGCTTAGCTAGGGCGCCTACAAGAAAAAGAGCAGGCAGAACTCAGGACAGCCATCATCCAATTGTGGTCCCCAACCCCAGCCCTCCAGCCATCCCCAGAGGCAGCATACAGGTATTGTTCTCCATCCTCACTGCCCAGGCATGACTCCAGGATATATCAGAAGTGAAGGTCAGAACATCTGCAGACACTCACCTGCCAGCACAAGGTTCCTGAGGCCCAGAGTCAGTCCTGGAAGACAGTTCCCTGTAAGAGGTTTGGCCCTGAAGCTTGAACAGGTCCTCCCCTCTGCAGAACCTCCTGAGACCCTAGGGTTTCCTGATGGGCCAGTGCCTAGGCTTTGGAGCAGCATCAACCCTAGACCACAGTATCCCCTCCCCCTCTGCACATCTCACCCAGACAGAGCAGGGCTGTGAAAGTGAACGTCATGGCATCTCCTCCAGGAGGCTGCAACTGTGCTCATGGGCACATGAGACTGTCTGGATGGACAGGAGAAACAGGATGTGGTCTCTGGAGGCTGGGCACTCCCTATGACATGGTTGTACTTCAGCAGTCCCACAGGAAGGGGAAGTGCCCTCCTCAGGCCCCAGGCTCTGACTTCCCCAAGGCTGTGGCTAGGTCAGGCAGTAGACTCTGCAATCAATTCTTTGATGGATGACATTTCCATAACCCCATAACTTTCTGTCTCCTTTTGTCCTAATCTTTGTCAGGGCCAGATGGTATCAGACATGTATGACTATTACACATAAGAAATATAAATTTAGTCAGGTGGTGGTGGCACACGCCTTTAATCCCAGAACTTGGGAGGCAGAGCCAAGTGGATCTCTCTGAGTTCGAGCCCAGCCTGGTCTACAGAGCAAGATCTAGGACAGGCACCAAAACTACACAAGAAATTCTATCCTGATTAAAATATATATATATAAATTTGCATATGAGTTTGCTTTATTCATTTTCACTTTTTATTTGAAATATCTACACATATTCAGAATGTTTGAAGGTTTGTGTGAAGGCTCTCATTGTATACTTCTTTATGGAGTAAAATATAATCCTCATCCTTATAGTCTCAAGTGCTTGGTATAAATGTGTACCACTATTTCTGGTTGTTTGTTCTTTTTTGATATGTGTACTTTCAATTACAACTTTAAATTACACTTCTTTTTAATTTACACTTATTTCTTTAAAGCACATTTACTTTTTTCTTTATGTGTGTGCATTCACATGTGCCCCAGCACACACAGGAAGGTCAGAGGACAAGTACATAAGGCGGTTTTCTCATTACACAGTACGGATCAGAGTCAGGGTTGAAGGTTGGCAGCAGCACTTACACACTGATCTGTGTCACTAGGTCCAATCTTAGCATCATCACTTCTTTGTCCTTCTGCTTCAGTTAAAAACATCACCAGATCTCAGGCGTCCTAAGCCAAACAAGTACCTGTTTTATTTGACTTTCTGGGGGCACAGGCTGTCGATGTGGCCACCCTTCTTCTAGAGGCGTTTGACCGCACAAGGGTGCAGGTGTGGGCAGCACTTGGGCAGCTGTGCATGGCCTTGTCACAGCAGTACTTCTGCAGAAACAGGTAAAGGGATGGCTCTCTGATGCCATCACAAAGGGGCAGCACCCAGTGCAGAGTTGGACTCTTTCTGGACTTTGCCATTGTCTAGGGTGCAGCCATGCTCTATCTGCTGGCAGCAAATACCAGTTGCTGCTGGTCAGGTGGGTTGCTTCCCTTGTTTTGGATCATGGCCTTGCCATTCTCCATGGAGTGACTGGGCTCAACCTCGATGGTGGTGATCTTCCCTTCCAGGGCTTTGCCAATGATCTGCCTGTTGGTGTTTGTTTGGCCACATATTTGAAGAGAAATAGAGCTCTGTAAAAATATTTTATTTCCTTTTACTTTTGGTGCTAGACATTGATGGCAGGACCTCCAGTGTTCTCCTACTTCTGAGCCATACTCCACCCCTGAGCCACATCTACCTATTCTGAAATTTTCAATTTCTGATCTTAAAATTTTTCATCTGCTGTCTTTTTCTTATCCTTATGGGTTTAATTATTTTTTTTGTTGATATGAGACAGGACCTCTCTGTGGAATCCTGGCTGTCCTAGAGCTAGTTATGTAGACCAGATGAGTGGGAAATCACAGAAATCCTCCTGCCTCTGCTTCCCAAGTGTTTAGATGAAAGGTGTGGACCACCAAACCTGGGCATAAGTTTAATTTTTTGACCTATTTTAAAATTATTTGTCGTGAAAACATTACATTACAATACACTTCGTTTCTGTATTGCATTAGTAATCCATATTGGGTTTTAGTTTTTAATTTTCTGAAAATATCATATCTGTATGTAGTGTGTTTTGATGGAATTCATCTTCCCACATCTTCCTTTTTCCCTCACCTTCACTTACTTACTTACTTACTCACTTACCTTATTTTCTTTTTGATTCCTTCTGTGACCTGCTAGTTGTTAAAAATCCATTGTCTTTCCTTACACACCTAACTTTCTATTTTCTTCCTCTCATGTTCCTCAATTTGTGCTTCCTATATTCTAGAGCATATTACCAGGGTCCACACCATTAAGGAAAACTGACTCTCCTTCTCCCAGTAGATATCAGATGCCAATAGCTCTTCATCTTTGGGTGAGACTTTGTGTCCAACTCCCATCCCCATACTGGATTTGTTCTTCATTGAGCTTACATTGTGCTTGTGGACTTGTAGATATCATCACAACCAAGGTGAGCTCAGATGTTTTTTGCAGTGCCCAGAAAACAATTTATTTTTCAGCCCCCCCTTCAGTAATGATCCCATGCTAGGAATGTGTCACATGGGGAAAATTCTCTAACCTAGCATTACTTCAAAGGATGTGTCCAGAGCACACACATGTCCTGTTTCTCACATGGAGAATGATATAGAAGTCACTGAGTATTTCCCTCTTTTATTGCTGAGCTCAAAGGACATCCTTAATTTCCTCTTTGTATCAATGTCAATATGAATAATTACCATCTTGTAAATCTGCCAATGTATGTCCTTTACTAAATCAGAAAAAGGCTCAGTTGGTGGAATACTTGTGTGACATTCTTAGATGTCTGGGTTTGATCCCCAGTACTGTATAAATATGATGCTATGGCTCATGTCTTTTGACTTCATCATTCAGGAGTTAGAGCTAAGAGTATCAGGAGTTTAAGGAAACTCAATGCAATGAGTTTGGGGTCAGCCTGGGCTATATCAGGCCCTATCACATAAAAGGGAAAAAGTCCCTTAGAGTATGTGGTGAACATGATCAGATACATTTCATGGGTGTAATTATTTTCAAAGAAATAATGGAAATGTATTTACTATAAAGCGCCCACACTGGGGATATGTCCCAAGTATTTCATTACATCCATTTCTAAGGGATATTCCTATCCTAGCACCTGCATCTTTTGCACCCCTGTGAGTTGTCATATCCAGTGTGTCTCATGGATACAGTGTCTCTTTCCTATTGATTTTATGGGCAGCTGCATTTCCTGACCTGAGAACAAGAGATGGGGCATGCCATTTGAACCAGTCAGGGTTTCCCTGAGTGCTGTGAGCTCATTCACACAAACCTCCCCACAGGCATCTCTGTCAGTGAGGAGACATGCTGCCCTCTCCTGGTTGTGTAGCAGGAGTTCCTGCAGAGCCTTGCAGCTGGCCTGTATTCTGTAGCACTGGGCTTTGCTCTGCCATTTGTGATTGTTGTCTTTTGTGTTGGATACCCTCTGACTGAAGTTTGTAAATCTTATCTGAGTTCTTCCTGAAAGGTTCAAACCTGTACATAACTTGGCTGTAGTGGGTATCAGAAAACTGAGACATCCTGGACCTGAGAATGGCTTTGGCATTCGTCTTCTCTGGGAAACTTCAGATAAGTAGTTCTGGTATGGGGAAATTGACTTGCTAAGGTGTAAATTGTATAATAATAAAAAGCCTCAAGTGAAGCAAAATTCAGTTCACCAGAAGATGGTTCCCCTGCCCTGGAAAAATCCAAAATTCATCCCGGTGTGACCTTGTTTCTTCCATGGACCTGCAAGAAACTGAACATCCACACTTGTCTTGGTGAGATGAGCTCCAGGTGGTGAACTTGCCCTAGATAACTGACAGCCACACATAGCATCTCATCCGGCCTCTCTGACACAGTTGGTTAGATGTAGAGTTCCAGCAGAGGCATCTTGTTTGCTGGTGGATATGAACTCCCCGGGATGTAGGGTCATGATTCCTCTCCAACCTTGATCCATGGCCTCCATCCACAGCACTCCACATGGACCACAACCACTGACCACATAGATAGATAGACTCTGCTGGGTGTGTCCTATAAAGCTGTGTGTCCATCACAGTGTGCCCAGCTGAGGAGAGTTCCTGTTGCTTTTCACAAACAGCTCATGGTGGAATGCAGGAGAGTCTCTGTCTTGATTCCACCTCAGTATTGGGCAGAATTTGCATGGTTGGATCTTGAGTGCAGGCTCTGTGTTTGTTTGACTCTATACAGTCACACTGCATCTAGTGTTTTACTCTATGGTTGTATGTTTGTTTGTATTGTTTATAGTATTAAGGCAACTAACTCTGCATAGTTAAAAGGGAGGTTTATTTTGTGCGGTAACTTACAAGTAAAGGTATAGGTTACAGGGTCGCGGAAAGGTGTAGCTCAGTCCATCGGTGTTCTCTGGAAAACTCCTCTGGGTGCACCTCCAGTGTCCAGGACTCAGGAACCAAGAGAGCCAGCACATCTGAATCTCAGGTCTTAAGGGCTCCTGTCTCAGCCCTGCCTTGTAGGCATGACAATTGCAGAAGCCTCAATGGGGGTAGTACTTCCAGGTCAAAGCTGGAACACCTACCCACTACAGTTTTGGGCAGTGAGTTATTTCCTATCCTTTCCAAGCATGTTTAGATCTATATTATTGACTTTTGATAAAATTATTTTTCAGTTCAAGGGAACACATTTACCATTATTTATTTCATTAATGAAGCACACACATCCACACCCTGTCACACAGGCATGCACACACATGAGTCTGAAGTTTTACATTTTTTAACCCAACGTTGAATTCTGGAGTATGCTCATGTTGATCATGTCTATCCTTACATCCACTTGACAGGATGTGTTTCCTCCTTATATTTAGTTCAGGATTTTTTGTCTATCCCTAGACAGGAATAAATTTTCCACCCAGCTTCATGATGGAAAGAGCAGGCTCCTGTCTTCTCCTAAGGACACCATCAGGCCTGGCTGCACCGACAGAGAAGGCTGTATAGAGAGCTGTGTGGGAGAGAAGAAGGGTGCTCAAATAGCTTCCTACATTTCCTCAGCTGAAATCTCACCATGCCAGCCTCTGAGGACTTGTGTTTCTCTGTCTCTTATCAATTGTCCACTCCCATCACTGTGCTCTTCAACTTTCTCCCTCCAGGAATCCATCCTTACTATGCTCATCACCTTCTGGAATCCTCCAGCGGCTCCTGTGTCAAGTGTAGACTTCTGACTATTCCTGCTGGACTCACTTTCTATGATAGAATGTCCAGCAGCTCACCGGGGGCAGAGAGAACAATACAGCTGTGTGCATTATATTGTTTTTTCATCCCCCAGCTTCTCATGGAGCCCAGTAGAAGTCACACTGAGAGAACCCAGTCTCAGCTTTTGTCCAGAGAACTCGGGGTTGTCAGTGTCTCCATCTCTGGACATCAGAGAGACAGCAGACTCTCAACCTCTCCAATAGTCTAGTGATGAATTCCTGGAGCCCTTCTGATGCAGTTACCATAGGGTCACCGTAGGCAAGAAATGTCCACTGTGGAGGAAGGGTGAGTTCTTTTTAAAATGTTTTTTTAAATTTTATTTTACAATACTATTCAGTTCTACATAACAGCCACAGATTCCCTTGTTCTCCCCCTTCCTGCCGCCCTCCACTTCCCCCCAGCCCATCTCCCCATTCCCACCACCTCCAGATCAAGGCGATCTGTTTGGGGGACATCTAGGCAATGGTACCAGGTCCTGGGCTCGTTGCATGAGTTAGCTGTTTAAAATATGTTTTGAATGGAAATAGAATTACATCACTTTCCCTCTCCATCCATCCCTACCCTCTAGCCCTTCCCAGGCACCCTTCCTTCAAAGTCTCACATGCCTCCTACTCTCATGTTTATAACTTCTTTTAATATCCTTATTATTATTATTATTATAATTTTATTTGTGTTCATATGTGTGCACAAATATACAAATACAATCTTATGAATCAGTCTGTTTTTGTTGTTTGTGTGTATCATTTCAGATACACACAATTTCAGACACCCTCATCAAGAAAGCCTGTCTTTACAGTAAATGGAGGCTCTCATAGAAAATCACAACTGGATACAAGAGGTGAGACCCATGAATTGTGGGGAGTACAGCCACATAAGATAATTCTACATCATAACTCCTGCATCCAGGTTCCAGGGAACGTGACAGAAGAGAGTTCAGAAAGATTGTAAGAGTCAGAATACCAGGAATTCTTCAGCAAAACAGATTCTTTCTTTCTTTCTTTCTTTCTTTCTTTCTTTCTTTCTTTCTTTCTTTCTTTCTTTCTTTCTTTCTTTCTTTCTTTCTTTCTCACTCTCTTTCTCTTTCTTCTCTATCACATTCTTTCTCTCCTCACTGTATGTCTCTGTAGGCCTCTCTAAGCCTCTGTTTCTCTCTCTCTCTCTCTCTTTCTCTCTCTCTCTCTCTCTCTCTTAGATGCAGTTTGTGTCCTCAACTGAATTTTCCATGTGGAAAAAATAGGTTTGCTGGGGATAGATTTGCTCTCCTGATTATGCTTATCAAAAGGATTCTGTGATACTGGAGGAAGAAGAGCCTTTGGGATATTATCAGCATCGCGGAAGGTAGGGACCATAGCAGAAGGATAAAGTATATAGTGTAAAGGATGAAGTGGGTACAGAGGCCCAGAGTGCTACAGATGGTGGAAGAATCAAGAGTATAGACAGATGTCTTGAGTCTTCATTGCACTTGGGCTGTGCTGATGTCCCAGGGTCATTATCACAACAGCTCAGATTGTGACTGTTTGTGGTTATTATCAGAATGAGAATGGAAGGATGGTGAACCTGAATAAGGCTCTTCACTCTTGAGATTGATTGCATCATTAACCATGGTCATCACAGATAGTGACAGAGCAGGTTTACAAAGACTTATGCAAGCCCTAGATGACTCTGGGGAAGCTGACTTCCCTCCTTGCCTGGGCTTGTGATTTCTAACTGGCAATTTCCTTACCCTTCTGACTTCCTCATTTTTGTCACAGGAAGCCCTGCCTGCTCCCTTTTCTTCTTTTACACTTCCTGACTCTGTTTCTTTTCCCTCTGTTACTTTTATATCTGGCCCACAGTTCCTCATAATCACACTGCAGATAATGTCTCAATGACCTCAGCACTAATGCTCAGGGAATCAAATAATCTGGCTGCTCTGTAACGTACAACAATATAATTTGCTGACTTTCGAACTGAAGATGGTATTAATCTATATCCACCCCTCTTTGAGTACAGTGAGGCAATGCTCTGTCTTTCAGGGTTAGTGTGAGAATCAACTAGTTCAGTGGCATGGGAGGATTCATATATAGATTCTTATTTCTGAGCATATGAATCAGGATGGGAGAGTGCAATGGTTAGTTCATTCATCTTGAGATAGACTAAAGTCACCTGTGAAATAGGGAACCTCACCAATATGTGCTTTGATCAGATTACACTTTAGTCCTGACTGTGGGGCACTTTCTTGATTAATGAGTCTAAGAGATGCAGAAGCTAATTGTACCTTCTCAGAGGACAATACATGGAAGCAAAGTTTGAGACTCCTGACATGATCACTTGTATCTGATGCCAGAATGTATATTGCTGACTTAGGTATAGGAGGAGGGTCTATAATTTCACAGATACTGGGCATCTTTGCTGGATCCAACCAGCCCTTTCTCTTCTGGCTCACTTTGGTGTTGCTCATTCCTTCCCTGACAGCTTCATGTAGAAGTGTCTGGAGTATTAGGGAGTATTGATAGTGGTTGAAGATAGGACAACCATTTCTTCCCTGAGGCAGAGACAATAGATTCTGCTCATGCTTCCATTAGCAACCTGTTACTCTCATGACCTTGCATAACTTCCTGTAAACTAGTGTTGTGTACAGAGTAGAAAGGACCTTAGAGCGTCTAGGCTGGGTGGTGTCATGTAGCATGCCAGTTCCTAGTACATCTCCCATTGACCTCGAATGTAATAACTATCAGAGTATCAATTTCTACATTTATTTTAGGCATCATGTTTCTGGACCAGGACATATCTCCTCCCTCCATGGGCTTCCAAGATTCAGATGAAAATCTGACCGGTCCAGGTAACATTTTCCATGAGGACAGAGTGAGGTGGTATGTTGATGGGGTGGACAAGTATAGTCTCCTAGGGCCTGCTAGTTCTGGTAATTCATTCTTTTAAACTCAGACTTCTAAGGCAGAGGAAGGTGGATATCTGTAAGATTAAGAACAACCAGGTCTTCATAGTGAGTTCCAGGACAGCTAGGGCTCTGCAGAGTGACCTTTTCTTGAAAAAAAAAACCAATAACAGAACAAAACCTAAACAAAAGGATCTGCTTATGCAGAGAGAGAGAGAGAGAGAGAGAGAGAGAGAGAGAGAGAGAGAGAGAGAGAAATTGAGTACAGGCTACCTAATTAATTGGACATTCAGGTCAGAGAATGGAATTTGTAAGCTAAATCCATGCTGTAAAGAGAGTATCACCTATGTGCAAATCAAGAAAAAGAAATTAGAAGAAACAAATTATAGGCTAAAACCTCCCATGAACACAGATGCAAAATCTACAAAAATATCATTCCTGCAACCTGTAGAGACAGTTGTGAAGAGCAAGTAATCTGTGGCATCGTATTCATGAGACTTTGTTAAGTATTCTATAATGTTAACAATGTGAAAAACATTTACTAATTGTGAGTTCTTTAGATGATATCCTGCTGTTAGTCATGAGTATGTGTTATAGAATTAAAAGAACACCTCCTGAAAAAGTAGAATTTAATCCATTCATGTAAATCTCATCCAACATTGTAAAGCATATGGTATTAATGATAATAACAGGATTAAAATTAAAACATAAATAATGGAGGCAGTTTTTGATGTGAGTGTCCACAGCCGTTTATCATGAACAGTCACAGGAAATTAGTTACAAAGACCCTCCAGAGTCAGACTAATTAATGTGTCAAAATACCAATGTTTGTATCATACTGAATTGTGAAAAAGCAGAAATTTTTCATTAAGTCTTGAAGTTAAGAGTCACCTCTCTTCACAAATTTTCAGCTTTGTACTTTACAGAAACAGAAGTATAGGATGAGAGAGAGAGAGAGAGAGAGAGAGAGAGAGAGAGAGAGAGAGAGAGAAATGAATACCACTGTCATTGTGTGAATATAACATGATTGTCTATGTAGAAATTATGAATCATTCTATGATAAGTCTTTCCAGCAATATGAATCTGGGATCATTTATCTGCAAGCCAACTGCTTTTTTATATATGAGAAATAGGCATTGGAAAATGAAATGAAAAACACACGAATTTCATTCTGGACTCAAAACCCTCACAGCTGTCATGTGACTTTGCTGTTGTGAAGTTTTCTTTGATGGGGTTATTTACAGTGGTTAGCAATTGCTACAAATCAGAAATTTGTGTTAAGAAAACACTTTCAAAGTCCTGCCCACATTGTCTTGTGAGACAGTCCATATTCCATCAGTGTGGTAACATTGGCTTTATATTTCAAGAGAAACTCCATGAAGAGCATGTGTTGAAGTCTGAAAGGGTGGAGGTTCACAAGGAGGGTTTTGAGACATCAAAGGCACAGTGACTTTGAAGTCTGGGCTCTGACTTTCCTTGTCTTTTTTGTTATTGAGGTACCTTCTTTATTTCTAATTCAATAGAGAGATGCTTCTGCCACAGAGAATATGACAATTTATTAAAATGACACATGGGGAGTGGGAGAAGAAAAATGTTCAGAATGAGGAGCTAAGCCAGGCAGATGGGACAGGATATTCCCTCACTATATAGATCAATAAAGGAGTTGGTTCAGTCAGCAAACACCCACAGTAGGTGGCGGGATGTAAACTCACTTGCAGAGGAAGGATCTCATCACACCCAAGGTTATCTCTGCACATAAATCATATTTGCTCCCTGGATATTCTCTCTCCAGTTCCTCAGTGTAAGAACTGGATTTTCCTACAGAATTCTTGGTATTGTCACATTTATTTCCCAGACTCTGGAACCTTGAGGTATACTTCTTTCTTCTCTGATTACTTCTCAGCTGCACGTTGGGCACGCCTCTGGCTGCCCCAGTCCTCAATGACCAGAATCCCAAGGACTATGAGGATCATGACAGCAAACCCCATCCTGATGAGATTCTCCACTGTGTGATCCTGGATCTCTGAGTCTGCGGTTGTGGACAAAGAAGTTACAGAGGTTACTGATGGTCAAAATTTCCTTAACATAACTATATGTTCCCAAGATAACTAAATGTCCACCTAGGTCCCCTGCCTTACTTTGAGAAAACCTGGAGCCTCTGTTTCCAGTGTTATGACTTTAAATTCTCTTTGTTCATCTGTGTTGGGTGTAGGCATGTTCTGGGATGGACTGAAAATCTCAACTGACTCTGAGGACAGAAGAAGAGAAATAGAATGTGTGCATGCTTAAGAGAACTGGGTGTTCCTTCTGCATTCTACTTTCTCATTTATTGTAAATACCAATAATTCTTATCCTAAAGGCTCATGAATTCTTGAATGAATCTTTTCACTGTTATAGCTGGGCTCCCTCTCTTATTCTTTTAAAATATACATTTATTTATTTACATATTTATTTATTTATTTATTTATTTATTTGTTTGTTTGTTTATGTTACATCCCAGCTGCAGTTCCCACCACTCTTCCCAGTCACTCATTCCCAATCCCTCTGTTCTCACCCTTGAATCCACTTCTCCATTTCTGTTTAGGAAAGGGCAGGTCTCCCATGATCACCAACAACATATGATGAGGTAAGACTGAGTATTTCTCCATGTATTAAGGTGGGGTAAAGTACCAAGTATTAGGAGTAGGGTCCCCAAAGCTGTTAAAAGATTCAGAGACAGTCTCTGTTCCCACTAGGAGTTCTTATTAGATTCTTCAGGACCACTGTGAAAACCCCTGAAAACAGTAAATTCAGAGTAGAAAAAATTGACAAGACATTCCAGGCACGGAACGCTGAGTCATGACACTGAGCAGCCCCAGGGCCATTCTGAATGTGGTGTCTCTGTTTAGCTCAGAAGAGGTTGTGTGGACAACATTCAAAGTTTGGGATGGTTTCCTAAATGATTTTTTTCTGAGTGTTTGTTCTCTTGTCCCATATAGACCTCCCATCTCTCCTGTGATCTGAGACTTTCCCTGACCTGTTCTGGGTAAAAAGGGACTAACTAGGGCTGGTCAAGGAGAAAATAACTTACAGTGTCTCAGAAATGAGATATAGTTCCTGTTAATACTGAGAACATGTGTCTTGTTCATAAACTTTCCCAGATGTTCCTTCCCATATCAGACCAAGAAACTTCTCTATGTCCAGTTCAGGTAGGAGCTCATCCTTCTGATGTAGATTTTCTACATCTCTTTCCTTTCATATATCATGTGGGAAAAAATGGTGTGGAACAGAGTCATGCAGAGTGTTTGCATTCCTGGCTCTCAAAATAAGATGTGAAGTGTGCGTGCGTGCGTGCGTGCGTGCGTGCGTGCGTGTGTGTGTGTGTGTGTGTGTGTATGTTTGTTTATGTGTGTGTATGTGTGTGTGTGAAACAGGGAAGAATACATTGTACATCTCTGGGATTTCACATAATATTTCCCCCAAAGGCATGGCTAGCCCACACTAAGTATAGATGCCAAGACTGACATTGTAACCCTTACTTTTGTCCTCTTTACAAATAGTAGTTACCGAGACAAACAGGACAGCTATAGTGTGAGGAGAGAGTGGTGCAGCTCTTCCTTCACTCTAGGAGTCTCACGGGTCCATGGTGGATTGTCCCCTGAGGTCCTGTCCCCAACGTTCTCTTGTTCAGATGAGCACACCAGTGGCAGGGGAGGACCTTCTTATCTGTCACCCCTCAAAACTAGGCTGAACCCATACAGTCTCAGTTCCTCAATTTCACCCTGAATAGAAATGTTGTAGACTCCACAAAGCAATAGATTTTGACTGGGACTTCTGGATTTTATTTTTCTTAATGTGATTATTGTTATGTTCAGGTTCTTATGACAAATTCTATTTGGTAGGGTTGAGGTGCGAACGTGGATCTGTTTTGAACAGAAAAAAAGTATAGCAGGATTTGTACTTACTCCACCAAGGCTGCCTCCTACCATAGATACACCATGGGTCATAGATACACTGAGAGCAAGGGTCTGAGAATACTGATAAATGGAGGGTGATGAGCAGAGGTTGTCACTGGGGACTGGTTTCTGCCTAGTATCTTATATCTGTCTGTCGACTCCCCAAGATGCTCTTTTAGATTACCAGAAAGCATTCTGGGTTGCATAAGCAGGGATTGTAGTGAGCATGCATAGAAATATCCATGTTGGCCTCCACCATCAGAAGGGTGAATATACATCTGGCTGACACTCTGCAGGATTTGTAACCCAATTCTAGACAATAACTGTTATAAATGTATAAGGCTGATATACCCTTTAGCTCAGAAATATCTGGATCACCTCACCTTGGACAATGAGCTCCATATGGCCACTGGCACCCAACAACAGGTACAGAGATGAGTTGATTTATTCATAGCACCAGCAGGTGCCCATGATAGTGTAGGTGATAGAACTCATGGAGAATACTAGAATCAACACCCATGATACAGATAGAGGGGTCCTGAATGCCCTGGCATGGCCATGTGCTTTACCCTTGCACATGTCACTACAGCTGTGGGACAGACCCACTGCATAATCAGGTGCTAGAGGATTCTTCTTTCAAGAGAAGTCAAGGCCAGAACTGAAAGTAACTTAAGGGTATGGGCCTCAAACAGAAGGGAACACCTTTCTGGAAACAGAAGGATTTGTCCAGTTCTGCATCTCTAGAAGCAACTGTATCAAGCCGATAACTAGCTACTGTCCATCAGGGCCCCACATTCCAATAAGGTATTTACATAGCCTCCTTGGGTCTGACTCCATGCAGCTGATATGTTTGTTCTCAGTTCCTTTAGTGGCAGAATGGGGAAGTGAGTGTCTGGGTTTCCTTTTCTCCATGTCACCCACCTAGCCCATCCTCCAGGCTGAGCCTGAAAATCTCTGGATGCCATCTTCTGTAGCACAAAATAAACCCTGGGTTTCTGAACTCTCTGTTATGATCTCTGTTCACTTCCACATGCATAAGCTGAAGTGAGAACTTTTTCAGGCTAAGAGCCATGAGCTCCATGAGTATGCAGCATACTCCCTTCACTGATAGTCACCATCTGTTGGAATGGGCCTTGAGGGTGGCAGGCTGGAGGCTCCAAAGAATCCTAGGAAAAAGAACAAGAGGAGTGTAGGAGGTAAAAACCCAGGGAACTGCCTCTGCTAACTTCTCAAAATCTGCCATGAAACTTTCCCATGATCCTCATGCTGTCTGCCTCAATCCTAGATTGCAATAGAGGATGGAGTGGACATTACTGGAAGGACCGCTGCTGACATCCACTTCTCTGGCAAGGAAATCACCTTCTGACTAACCTTCCTTTTGTCCCCTTAATCCCACCCAAGTCAGGGGCTCTCCTAGGGTTTGGATTGTAAGTCACCCTGAGAGTTCACGGTCACCTCACCTGAGACTGTGAGCTCCACAGGGTCACTGGCATGTGACAAAAGGTAGTGAGATGAGTCTCTAGAACCATAGCACCTGTAGGTGCCTGAGAGGTCAGAGGTCACAGCACTCATGGAGAATTCTGCTTGGAACTCCGAAGCTTCAGACTTTGATTTTAGTCTCTGGGGTTGGTGGGCTGCTCCCTCCTTGGACAGAATGAAAGTGTCCACTTTGAATGTTGACTGACACAGCAGGGTCACGTTGTCTCCAGAGTGTACTGTGGAGTTAGGCTTCACTGAGAGGGAAGGACTGAAGGGAAGCTGTCCTAAAAAGAAGAGGAAGGATGAGAGGCTGCCTTCATTGTTCTGAGCTGTTACTTCTCCTGTGTCTGCCCTGAGCAACTGGCATTCTGTCTTCTCTGCCTGAGCCCCTTTCCTGCTCCCCTGTCTCTGCATCTCTTCCCGAATAAGATCCCTGTCCCTCATCCCAGCCATCACCTCCTTAACTCCCCCATGAGAACCCATGCACAGGTTAGGTACCAGAGGGAATCTGTTTGGCCCTCACCTGTGATGAGGATATCCAGGGGGTCACTGGAGGCTGACCACTCAAAGGAGAGGTTGTGTACACCATAGCATCTGTATTGGCCTCCAGTAGAGCTGCTCACAGGGCCCAGTGTGATGTTGGCCAAGGAGAGGCCACTCTGGGTCCACTCTACACCATGGTGGGTGAAGTCAGCTCCTCCCAACTTGTACAGAGCAAATCTGTCATAGTTGATGTCAGAACAACACTGCAGGGTGAGGCTCTTCCCAGGGTCCAGGATCTGGCCTTGGTGAGTCAGAAAGGAGGGCTTCTTGGAGAGGCCTAGAGGGAAGGTGTCAGGCTAGTGATTGAGGAGCTGGTTTTTACCAAACACTGATGCCCTCCCATCCTGCACTACACACGTCACTGCTTCTCCCCAGATTGGGGCTCTGGCTCAGCCACCAGGCTCTTCCTCAACAACTCTCTACCCACAACTACACAATGGGACCAATCAATGGCAAAGGGTTTAGGGTGTGAAAAAAAGATTGGTCAATGATGGTGCTGACCCACCTGAGGTGTATATTTCCGGGGGCTCACTGGGCACTGACCACCAGTGTGGAGTTTGTTTGTAGTAACCATAACATCTGAATGTCCCTCTATGGTCTGGTGTTACATGATCTATAGAGAACAAGGCTTGGTACTGCATAATACTGTGTATATACTGTGAGTTCTGAGAGCTGAGGAACTTCTGGTCATCCTTGGTGAGAATGAGTTTATTATATTCATCCTGTGAGACACACTTGAGAGTCATGTTTCCTCCTGAGGTCACCACAGGGCTGGGCAGGGCTGTCACGCTGGGTTTATTGTAGTAGTAGATTCCTATGAGAGAAGGAGGCAGCCTATTCCATGGACTCACACAGCCTTAGTGTTCTCCAGGACTAGGCTGTGGGAGGCAATATTCTTGAGAGCAGGGCCTGGGGCTGAGACCCTGACTGTCCCCTCACCTGTCACCACAATCTCCAGGGTGTCACTGCGCTCTGACCAGCCAGCTGAGCTGTAACAGTAACAGCGATATTGTCCCCCATGTTGCTGTGTCACAGAAGGGATGGAGAACTTGGCCTTGTTCTCAGGCTTCTCTGGGGTCTGTGTGCCCCAGGGTTTTTGGCTTCCCTCTTCATGCAGAACACATTTTTCTGCAACCAGGGTCCCATGACACCAGATGATCACAGCACTCCTGGAAGAGACCATAGAGCTTGGCTCAGCCTTGATGCTGGGTTTGTGGAGAGTCCCTGCAAGGAAGTAGGAGAGAAGAAGGTGAGTTTGTCTGAACGTGGCCAGAGAAATTCACACTAGCAGATGGCACATTTTCCCTTTTAATTTCTTCTTCTCTCATACAATACATCCTGACAGAAACTTCCCCACATCCCCTCTCCCCCAGATTCACTGCCTGTTTGTGTCCCTTCAGAAAAGAGCAGGCCTCCCAGAGATGTTACCTGAACATGACATAATAACATGCAGTAACACTAGGCACACACCATCATGTTAAGGCTGCACAAGGCAACCCAGTAGGAGGAAAAAGATCTCACGTGCAGGTGATAGTGTCAGAGACTTCCCTAGTCCTATTGTTATGAACACAAAACCCCAAGCTAGTGAGGCAGTGGTGGCGCATGCCTTCAGTCCCAGCACTTAGAAGGCAGAAGCAGGCAGATCTCTGTGAGTGGAAGGCCAGCCTGGTCTACAGAATAAGTTCCAGAACAGACAGGGCTACATAGTGAGACTCTAAAAAACCAAACCAAACCAAAGCAAACAAAACACCCAAGGTAACGATCACAGTGTGTGTTGAGAGGGCCTAGGGCAGACCCGTGCAGGCTCCATGGTTGCTGTTCCAGTCTCTGTGAGCCCTCATGATCCCTGCTTAGTTGATTGTGTGGTCCATGTTCTCCTGATGTCCTGAGTGCTCTGGCTTCTGCAACCCTTCCTCCTCTCTTGTCTGGGGTTCCCTGAGCTGTTGTGGATGGCACATGAGCTGATCCAGAGTAACAGAAGGCCCCATAATTATTCATCTCTGTACTGGACCTCCTGGGCTTTGCTGTTACTCTCTGCCTTGGATTCTGTTTCTTGTGTCCCACTCTCTCCCATGCTCTGTGTCAATGGGCTCAAGAGCCCTGGCCCCTCACACACACCACACACCAAGATCTCTCTGAGCACCTGTATCATTTCAGCATCATTCTAAGGAAAGGCTGGGGTTCCTCACCTGAGACCAGGAGCTCCAGGGGGTCACTAGGTTCTGACCACACCTGTGGACTGTTCTTGTTGAAGCTGTAGCATCTGAATGTCCACCTTTGGCTGGAGGTCTCAGGGCCCACAGAGAACAGGGCCTGGTACTTTCTAGTATGGGAGTTATATTGTGAGTCCAGTGTCCAGGAGAGCTTCTGAGATCCTTCCTTCGTCAGAACAAACCTGTGATATGTCTGCCCTGAGACACACTGGACGGTTACATTCCCTCCTTCAGTCACCACAGGGCTTGGCTGGGCTGACAGGCTGGGTTTACTGTAGACTCCTAGAATTGAAGAACGAATCAGTCATTATCCTCCATGGCTGTGAGGTGGAGATAGCCATGTGAATAGACACACTTTTTGTCAGTCTTGAGGCTCGGGACCCTGTGTGTCCACTCACCTGTCACCACTAGCTCCAGGGAGTCACTGTACTCTGACCATCCATCATGGGTCTGATATTGACAGCGATATCGCCCTGCATGGCGATGATCTATTTCTGTGATTGAGAATTCAGTCTTGGTCTTGGAATCCTGTGGATTCTCTGTTTGCCTTAAATATTTGTGTCCATCTTTGTAGAGACTGTACTCTTTGACTCCTGTGGTCCCCTCACACAAGAAGGTCACTGTAGTCTGTGCAGAGACCACAAAGTCTGGTTGTACCATGAGGATAGGCTTAGGGAGAGCACCTGCAAGGAAATGAGCAGCTGGTACCCAGGACAGTCATCCTCAGATTGCAGCCCACAAACCTGACCCTCCAACCATTCTCAGGGGCAGCAAACATGCATTATTTTCCATCCTCACTGCCCAGGCATGGCTCCAAGATTTGATGAGAAGTAAAGGTCAAGACATCTGCAGACACTCACTCACCTTCCAGCACTGGGATTCTGAGGCCCAGAATCAGTCCTATAAAAGAGTTCCTTTTAAGCAGTTAATTCCTGAAGCCTAAACAGTCCCCCCCCCGCCCCCACCATCTGCAGAATCTCCTGAGACCCTGGGGTTTCCTGATGGACCTGTGCTGGGCTGTGTGGCATTGTTATTCCTAGACTACAGTATCTGTTCCCCATCTCCACATCTCACCCATATAGATCAGAGCTGTGAAGGTGAAGGTCATGGCATCTCCTCCTGGAGGCTGCAACTGTGCTTATGGGCAGAGCTACAGAGACTGTCTGGAGGGTCAGGAGACACAGGGTGTGGTCTCTGGAGGCAGGGCACTTCACTTGACATGGTTGTACTGGAGCAGTCCCACAGGAAGGGGAAGTGCCCTCCTCAGGCACCAGGCGCTGACTTCCCCAAGGCTGTGTCTTGGTCTGGTAGTAGACTCTGCAATCAATTCTTTGATGGATGACATTTCCATAATCCCATCAGTGTCTGTCTCATCTATCCTCATCATTGCAGGACCAGGTGATATCAGACATGTATGAATATTACACATAAGAAATATAAACTCACATGCGGGTTTGCTTGATTCCTTTTCACATTTTTTATGTGAAATACTTCTTCATATTCAAAATGTTTGCAGGTTTCTGTGAAGGGTCTCGCTGTGTATATCTGCATGCAATGAAATGTATAACCCTCTTCCTCATAGTCTCAACTGCTGGGTTACAAATGTGCACCACTATTTCTGGACATTTGTTATTTTTTGATGTGTACACTTACTATTACAACTTTAAATTACACTTATTTATTTACACTTGTATCTTTAAATTACATCTATTTAATAATTCTGTCTTCATTATGTGTGTACATTCACAGGTGCTAAGCACACTCATAGAGGTCAGAGGGCACCTACAGAAGGCAGATTTGTCCTTGCATGATGTGGGTCAGAGTCAGGGCTGAAGCGTGGCAGCAGCACTCATACACTGGTCCGTGTCACTAGCCCAATGTTAGCGTCATCACTTTCCTTAGTCCTTCTGTTTCAGGCAAAAAATATTCATCAAGTCCTGGGCGTCCTGGGCCAAACAAGGTTTCAGCATTATTTGACTTTCTTGGAGGGCAGGTTGTTGGTGTGGTCACACTTCTTTTTCAGGCAGTTGACCACACAGGGGTGCTGATGTGTGCAGCACTTCTGGGCAGCAGTGCATGGACATGTCACAGTTGTGTTTCTGGAGAGACTAGCAAAGGGATGGCTTCTTGATGCTACCACACAGGCACAGCACCAGTTGGTGTGTTGGACTCTTTGTGGACCTTGCTGTTGGCCAGGGTGCAGCCACCCTCTATCTGCCGGCAGCAAATACCTGCCACTTCTGGTGGGGTGGCATGTCTTCCTTGT